GTGGAACCCTTCATGCATAGAGAGAAAATGGGAGCGAGGGAAGATTTATATACATGTTTATCCCGCCGGGTTTACTTAAGACAGTGAGTGTTTTTTGGGATGCTCATTAACGAGTTTGTCACGAGTCTGTCACTTCAACTCATCTTCCTAAGTAAACGTCTTATGTAAGGTATATAGGATTTAATACTCTTTTTAAGGAAGTGCACGCTAGACGATACGAATGCAAGCATAGTGCCCACCCGCCTACAAATTAAACCCCTCCTTCAAGACAACACGCACGCAAGCATCTTGCCCATCCCCCCAACTGCCCCCTTGAGATACACATGCAGATGTCCGAGGAGCCCTCGGAAAAATAAGACAGTTCTGAGTTGCAAATTCCACTGCGTTCTATGTACAACCGACAAAACATGGCGCCAACAAAACAATAATCGGAAACATACAATTCCCCAAAAGCCATGCTATGGGGTCTTGCAAAACTAATAGGCGGACGGGCGCCGTCCGGTCACCGTCAGAGCTGGTGGGCGGATGGTGTCCCGGTCATGTTTTGATGGTGTCCCGATCATGTTTTGATTGTGACCCAGTCATGTTGTGATGGTGTCCCGGTCCTGTTTTGATGGTGTCCCAGTGATGTTTTGATGGTGTCCCGATCATGTTTTGATTGTGACCCAGTCATGTTGTGATGGTGTCCCGGTCCTGTTTTGATGGTGTCCCGGTCATGTTTTGATGATCATGTTGTGATGGTGTCCCGGTCGTGTTTTGATGGTGTCCCGGTCATGTTTTGATGGTGTCCCGGTCATGTTTTGAGGGTGTCCCGGTCATGTTGTGATGGTGCCCCGATCATGTTTTGATTGTGACCCAATCATGTTGTGATGGTGTCCCGGTCCTGTTTTGATGGTGTCCCGGTCATGTTTTGATGGTGTCCCGGTCATGTTGTGATGGTGTCCCGGTCATGTTTTGAAGGTGTCCCGGTCATGTTGTGATGGTGTCCTGGTCATGTTTTGATGGTGTCCCGGTCATGTTGTGATGGTGTCCCGGTCATGTTTTGAACATGTTGTGATGGTGTCCCGGGCATGTTTTGATGGTGTCCCGGTCGTGTTGTGACGGTGTCCCGGTTATGTTTTGATGGTGTCCCGATCATGTGATGGTGGCGCGGTCATGTTGCCATGGTGCTCGCTATTGGGGTCTCCAGCGGGCTAATTTTGATGGTGTCCCGGTCGTGTTGTGACGGTGTCCCGGTCATGTTTTGATGGTGTCCCGGTCCTGTTGTGATGGTGTCCTGGTCATGTTTTGGCGGTGTGCCGGTTATGTTTTGATGGTGTCCGGGTCATGTCGAGATGGTGTCCCGGTCCTGTTTTGATGGTGTCCCGGTCATGTTTTGATGGTGTCCCGGTCATGTTTTGATGGTGTCCCGGTCATGTGATGGTGTCCCGGTCATGTTGTGATGGTGTCCCGGTCATGTTTTGATTGTGTCCCGGTCATGGTTTGATCGTGTCCCGGTCGTGTTGTGACTGTGTCCCGGTCATGTTTTGATGGTGTCCCGATCATGGTTTGATTGAAACCCAGTCATGTTGTGATGGTGTCCCGGTCCTGTTTTGATGGTGTCCCGGTCATGTTTTGATGGTGTCCCGGTCATGTTGTGATGGTGTCCCGGTCATGTTTTGATGGTGTCCCGGTCATGTGATGGTGTCAAGGTCATGTTGTGATGGTGTCCCGGTCATGTTTTGATGGTGTCCCGGTCGTGTTGTGACGGTGTCCCGGTCATGTTTTGATGGTGTCCCGATCATGTGATGGTGGCGCGGTCATGTTGTGATGGTGTCCCGATCATGTTTTGATTGTGTCCCAGTCATGTTGTGACGGTGTCTCGGTCATGTTTTGATGGTTCCCTGGTCATTTTGTGATGGTGTCCCGGTTATGTGATGATGGTGTCCAAGGAAGAGATGGTGGATGTGTTGAAAACAGCAGCTGTTTCTATTTTTTTCTTTTTGTCCCGGTTTGTATCTTGCTATTGGGGTCTCCAGCTGGGCTAATTTATAAAACACATGCAACACACATAGAAGTAGATATGATGAGAATGAGCATCATGACTCGCCGGCCGGTTCGTGAAGGGTTCACACAGCTGTTTGCACTATGACCTGGCACGATCGTGTCGGCTGGTGGGTCTTCCTGGAAAGGGGAAACTCTGAAAGCTGCTACACTGCAGAAGCTGGTGAAACGGTAGCTGCGCTTCCCCCAGTGTTCCTGCTTGCATCAACTTGGTTTTTTCATATATCAGTATCAGTTTCATTGGATACTGTGTTCATCTATGAATCTCTATATATATATATATATGTTCCAGGATTTGGGGCCATGGACAACCCATGTCAATCCGTGCAGCATGTTTGCCCTTAATGAATTGCACAACATGATCAGCCGACAGCTGGCCGATGGCATCGCAGCTGGCAGGGTCTGGATGGCTGCTTTACAAGTACTTGGTGGAATGACGTGCCATGACTGTATGAGCAGTTGTCGGAGTGGTGGACATTGACTTCCCAAAGTAGTTCATGCGCTGTTGGGAGAGAAACCTGCTACAAAGTACAAATCAGAGAAATGATGTTCCTCTTAAACATGTTCTGCTTTTCAATTTGGGTTTTGCACAATGACTAGATTTTTGGCCGGCTAAACATTTGCTGCACTATAAGATCTGCGATATCGTCAATTCGCTCTGACTATGACACATTTGTCACATCAGATCATGACACGATTGACATGGTGGGCATGTTCTCTTGTAAGGACCATGGTGTCAGAAATAATCCTGTCTTCTTCACAGTGAAGCAGCATTTGGTTCTCATATTGACAACTGGGCTGGGTCAAAAACATATAGGTCCCAGCCTGCGGATGGTGATTCTGCAACTATGAAGCTATAGCCCCAAGCAGAAAGTCACCACGAAGGGTGCATTCACCTGCTTCGCTTCCTCAGATCATGGCGAGGATCAGCAGGTGTAAGGGTTCGCTTGGCCACATCCGTGGCCCGGGGTTCACTTCCACGTTCCCTGTATCAGGGCTCTTAGTGGTTCACCTAAGGAGTATCTGAGTATCCTTAGAGATTTGTCTCCTGGACCCCCTGGAAGTGACTGGGCTCGTCATCCTGTTGAAATCTGATAGACCAGTGATATCAAGGAGGCCTAGAGTTACAGGTCTTACAAGGTCTTATGAGGTCTTATCCAAATTGGATGGCCAAGCTGTTGGATCATTTGGTCCATTGGGATTCTTTGGGCACGCCGAGGTCGCATTTCAGCTGATCACCTCAGCTGGCCACGGCGACGGCCCAGCCGGCTGGGGTACCCAGGGCCACAGGCGGTGCCAGACGGTGGCCGTCGCTAGGTTTTGGACGCGCGGAATCCGCTTGTGATACCCATGCTGTGGATATATGATATAGTGGATTAGTCGTGTTGAATGGTGAAGGCCTGAGACCCAAGAACTTGGATCAGTGGACGATAGCTGATGTGATTTCATTCACAAGTGTCATGACGAAGCTCTGAGGGGTGTGGACATGCTGAACAATTTCATGGCCAATTCATGGCCGATCGCTGCAGCAATCCACTTCATCACTGACCGATCAACAGCAGCTTTCGCTATGCCAGGTCAATCCTTCTCTATGCGTACAGGCATCACATTTTCATATCCACCTCCATGTACATCATTTCATGACTTCTTGCTTTTGAGAGTTGATATCTTGAAACATGAGAATGCCCTGGAGTGCAATTACTCAAGCTTAAGCAACCAAAAAAACACAATACAAACCACATACAAAGAAACACTCAACAAACAACATACGCGACCCTTGACTTGTGACCTCCCGTGACCCTCAATCGTTTTTCTTCAGGATCCGGGATCCGTGATCGGCGACTCGGCGACTCGGCGCCTGTCTGGGGCTCGGCGGGGTGGTTGGTGTCTGTTGGGAGCCAGCGGTTCATGGCAGGTATCCTGATATCAGAAGAAACGGCTGTAATTCACATAAATTAACTAGCATTGTTGAGCTTTAGGATGTTGTTCTGAATTTTAGGCTGATGAATTTAGGTTTATATACTGTAGTTGTTGACGCTTAGACCATTGTTGTTCCAACTGAACGTCCTGAAGCTTCCCCAACTTGGGAGTATGAGCTCGTTTTTGGTGACCACACCACTCCTCTCATCCACGGATTAAAACCACTGCTGTCGTACATGCCGAACGCGGAGTTGTTGTATCGAGGTACGGCGTCGTTCGCCGCGTGGTACTGTACGGCGCGGTGGCGGTTGGAGAGCGAAGGATGGGATCACCAGTGGAGCTAAACGCAGTGCACCTCTGAACCAAGAGCCTTTTTTGGGCTCAGTATGCGAAAGGTCAAACGGACCCAGCTGGCCAGTTGAGGGGTCCAGGCCGAAAAAGGGTGGTTTGTGGCTGTGTGTCACAAGTAAACATGCCAATGGCCCAGAGAATAGTCCTTTTTGTTTCGTTTGTAGTGGGAGAGGACTGGTTTTCAAACCGGGACACCTGTGGTCCGGCCGTTCACCAACATCAGTTTCGTCGTCTTCAAAGAAGACACATCCCAACTCCTGCGAGAACGACCGGCACATGCCCTTCAATTCGCCCAACTCTGAGGCAGCCATTCTTCGTGCCCTAGTGTGACCGCCAGCAGCTTCATCTCTGTCGGCGCCACGGCGCAGCTTCCGGACACACGAGTTTCTGCTCTCGGTGCCTTCGATGCGAGCCGGGTGTGTGAGCTGGGTGGAAAAGACGCTTTAAAAGGGAAGGGAACCTTTTAAAGTGTGTTTTTGCCATCCGATGACAGAACATGGCAGAAGTTACAGACTTGGAGCAACTTCGATGCATTTCTGTATTGTTTGTTGGTTCATGTGTTGAGGATCTAATTTGCTTCGGAATCGGGAGAAGCACCATGACAAGCCGTTCCGGAGCTTTCAAGGTTTCAAGCCGGTTGGAATTTGCAGAACGTGTTTTCCAGGAAAAACCGGTTCAGTGCGGTGGGAACCAACACCATCGTCGCCCATATGTTGTGACATGGCTCTGGAAACGTTTCGTTAGGCCCGGAGACCAACCATCTGCGCCGACCTTTTTTCACAGACCACCGACGGCCCAAGGGACCAGACTTCCGACGCCGAGGCCGGACGGAGCGCCCCTCAAGGCCAATGGCCCCGGTCTGACCTCTCGAAGCTCCTGTTCGGCCTCCTGAAGCCCGGAGAAGAGTCGCATCTCCTGCTAGGCTGCGGCTCGGTGTTTCTTTGCCAGATCGCCCTTCAGAGTCGGGGAAGACTGGGGGTCCAAGTGGAGTGGTTCCGCGGTTCGGACCGACCTCGCATGGTGGTGTGGGTGGACCGGACCCGGTCAGAGCTGAAGAAATGGTCAGAGCTGACCAGGTCCGCAAGGTCCCTTGTGGTATGAAAGAGTCATTGGTTTTTGTCATTTCTTCATTTCGGACACATGTCTGAGAAGTTCAGGTGATTGAGTAACCCGACTGAAGTTCTTCCTGACACCATTGGCGAGCTCAAACTGGAAGAAGATGTGACTGGGTGAAACAAAGCTGATTGACAATGATCAGACCGTCCCGCAAGCGCGATGATCTCAGACACGTGCTTCACAGTCACTATGCATGATTCAGTTTGCGCTTGGTGTATTTTGTACTGTTTCATTTGGATTGAGACATGTCATGTCTGAAAAGCAGCCGTCCGTGCTGTTTGCCTTTTCAATCGTTCAACATCGTTTCTGTTTTTCCCTGGCCATGGATGTGGTGCGCTCAGTGTGTCCAAGACTGCCATGCAGGCCCTCTCTGGTCTTCAGTGGCGTTCCTGAGGACCTTTTTTCTTCGTCAACTGCTCCAGAGGGCGTCCAGAGGTCGTTCCTGCACAGGCCTTCATTTTCTGCTCCCGACTCAGACACGTGAAGCTTGTGGTCTCAGTGACCAAGATTGGGCTGGCGACTTTAGCTGCTGGGCTTTGACCGATCTGACCATTCCAGACTCTGTGACACAGATTGGAGAGGAACCCTTTTGAAGGTGTAGCTCCTTGACCAGCTTGACATTTCCGGACTCTGTGACCGAAAGCAGGCAAGGAGCGACAGCAGCTCAAGCCGCAACAATTATAGCCTCTTTGGCTCTTTGGCCAAATCTTTCAGTAGCTCATGGAAGGAAGTTGACATCTGTGCTCGACCTGATGGATCTCAAGTCGAGGCGGGCTCCAGTATGCAGTTTTGGGGACATACGTTTGGAATTTAGCGATCCCGGCCTATCCGATCTCGCATTTGAAATGAATCAAACACCTTTCGTTGACGGTTGAGATTACTTCTACCCGTTTCGGCCATTTTGTCGTGAGAGGAAGATGGAGACAACCAACATCTGCGGGTGTGAAGGTGATTGTAGGTTGAATCTGCAGATTGGGATCAATCAGGGTCCTTGAATAGTATGTTTGTCGTGTCTATAGACGGTTCGAAGTTGAGTTTGGTTCGAAGGTGATCTTGGACAGTCAGCTAATTTATAATAATTATATACCTCTCTCAGACAGAAACGCATTAAAACAAGAGCCAATGCCAGCGTTATCACTAAGTCACATATACTACCCGCCACTGACATAGGATTTGTCTCAGGCAGGCTCAAAAACACAACTCCCATGTCATGAGGAAAGAGGAAAATGTGCCAAAAGCCACAAGTCCTAAGTCATGACGCCAAAGCTAGCAAAATCAGCAAACTTACAACACCCTATTAAGGATTCCTGGAATTGTAGAAATTCAGGACAAAACGCATGACCGGACATTTGTGCGCCAGAAACAACCTTCTACCCTTATTTTCTGCTTCATGATTACTGGGGAAAACTGCCCCGGCAACTACTCATGTCATTGGTACCAACAAGTCCTAAGTCATTGGTCCTCAGTATAAGCAAAAACAGCTGATCAAAGTGATGGCAAAGCGGTGATTTTGATGGTTCAGCACTCACTAGCAATCAAAAGTCCAGCTCACAGGCAGCTCAAGGCCTTCAAAATTCTGACCAACTGCAGAGGACACCCTCCTTACTTGGGAAGTGAGGAAGGACCAGGCCACGAGATCCCAAGGCTCCGAGGGCTCCGGGGAAGCCATGCCACGCCATGCGGTCGCTACTCGGCTGCTGCTCCTGCTGCTCGGCGCGGAAAACGGCTGCTCGGCGCAGAAAGCGGCCTTCCAGAACAGCACCGAGCTGCGTGCCGCCATTGTTGCTTGGGAGAACTATGTCAATTATGGCACGGAGTACACGGAGTACGGCTACAGCACGGTCAGCACGGGCTATCCCGAAACTTGGCAGTGTAGTGGTCTAGTCATCTCCAAACTTTGACCTCCAACCGCATCCGAACTCCACAGCCAAGGACCGGCCTCGTTTGGTTTCCACCTATGGGGACATTGCGGACTGGGACGTTTCACAAGTCACCAACATGAGCAGATTGTTCCATGGGCTGCAGTGGTTCGACGAAGCCATAAATTCCTGGAATACAACGGCTGTGACAGACATGAGCAGGATGTTCTACGATGCCAAATCCTTCAA